TAACGATGCGAGAGAAACGTTCGGAATAAAATTCCAACGAGTTCAACAGAAAAGTAACATGCATTTTCCGGTCATTTTGTTAAGGTTATCATAATCTTAGTAAGACAAAAACTTCCAAATATTTTAAAACTACCTGGTGTTGCCATTATTTGATATTTTATAACTAAACTGCGGATCTTCGTGCAAAATAAAAGTTTTCTTTATCTTTAATCGATTTAGTAAGTTGAAAATAATACATAAACGATGTTAAATTTTTAGAATTTCTCTTGTTTTAAATTTCATCTACTAAATTTTACAAATCTATTATAACCGTCTAACACTAAATATCTTTAAATATCTTTTCTCTGCTTGATTTGCTTCTTTCGCGTGATACTTGAGTATGTACATGCAAATTAGGGAAGCTCCTCTACACGAAAATAAATCGTCAATCCTATGGCAATAAGATAACAATAACATATTGTTCTTTAAAAATTTTATTTCAGCGTGGTACACACTGCCTTTCGTATCTCGCCTCTAATTGTCAAATAAACAATAAGTGAAATATGAAATAACGGCAGACGATCCAGGAATTCGTTTTTGTTTTTTAACAGTAGTTCATCCAACTAGAAAAATGAAACAAACCGAAACATCGAAGTCCGTCTTTGCAGCTTTCCGTTCAGTTCACGAATTAATCCATCAAAACAGTCACGATATAACTCACGCACGCCTTTGCCGCCCCTTGCCTCTATCTTCTAAAGCTTCGAAACTGATTGTGCGATGTATTTAAATACAGCTGCAATTGAAAACAGAAAAGCTCAATTTCTTGCTACATGGTGAAAATTTGAAAAATTGTTCCGCGTAGTCGCGACAATCGAAACTTGTAAATTCGATTCATCTATCTGCAGATCTAACTTGAAACATTCGTTGGTTTCAATTGATTTGTTTTCAACAATTGTTATTTTACTACCTTCCTTGTATTGTGAATTACACTTTGTTTCATCGATAGTGATAAATTGTTTGAGAAAAAGTGCGTCGATTTGTGTTTAATAAAGATACGGTACGTTTTTACCAAACAGTATATGAAGTATTACAAAAGTATAAGTGAACCGCGATTAAGTTTAACCACGAGCTTTTTACATTTTTCATCGAATTCGTACAAATGTATATGTTGAATTATGCGAAAATTTTCTGTTGTTTAACGTATAAATGTTCATGTTCCTACATGAATGCACACGTTTTTCAAAAAAGTGATTCGAAATGATTATTTTCTGGATGTATCCACAATGTAATAAGAACAATGGAAACGAAAACGATATTCTCAAATAATGAGAAACACTTCAGAATCTCTCGTTCCTCCATGATTTCTGAAATTTCTAGCACATAGTAAAGGGTAAGCTGGTTTTCATAAAAAATGCAAAAGTACCTGTGACTCGAGCACTTAGACATGTTCTTATCACGTATCTACCACGAAAACTGTTCTGGCTTTGAACCAGCTGGCACCATTAACCCAAATATATATGCTGTTCATTATGAAGAGAGTTCCTAGTACATAAATTAATCACGAGCTCCCCCGTGCATTCTTCGGGACTATCGACCTCGAAATCCGTTGATTCGATAATTCAGGACTGAATGAAAGATTTAGTTAGCATAGGGAAGTGTTCTCCGTGGTTTATTTTCGCACCAAAATATGTGATTCTACGATAACGTAATATTCCGACGTTGTTTCACAAATTAATGTCGCCGAATGTCTTCATTATTGCACTTGATTAAGTCTAGTCACTCCCGGATTTTATCATTTCTTTTAATCTATATTTTACAGAAATGTTTATTTTATGTGATACGGTAACATATTATATTGTGAAGCACACAAACGTTTAGTAGAGATCCAAGTGCATATAGATACATGCAATTTATACGTAAGTTGTTGTTGCAGAAAATATAGAAAATAATTAGCAAAAAGTCTAATTCGAATTCTAAGTCTTTGTTAGTTTCACGTGTGGACTTTACAATCTCTTATTTATAAAGAAGTTATTTGCAATGGAATCTACAATGGACATTTTTTCCATTATTCTTCGATACACAATCTATAGTTTCCCGATGAAAACGTTTCTAGTGCAACAAAACATGTTTCTCCTGCAAACAATTCAATTTAAAGGAACTCGTCTTTAGCCGAGGAACTCGACTGATTGGATTAACCCAGAAGACTAAAAAGAAAACATTCTATTGATCTTCTGCATTAACTAATTATAAGTTAATAGCGCCCTATGTAAGCATTTGGGCAATTATTACACACATTATCCAGTAAGGCTTACTATTGCGACACCGCTAAACCAATATCATTATCTAGATAAATTGAAAAGACTCGAAAATGAAAAGAAAGAAGAGCGATTCATTCATAATATGATTCACCCTAAAAATCGATAAAGATTTTTCCCAGCATTGTAACGAAACAACCGTACCATTATCCAAACACCTACGTGTTAAATTACGTAGTAATTTAGTAAGTAAAAAAACGTTTTCAACGTAGTAAAAAAAGTACCGAACCAGTCAAAATGAAGGTCTTCTGATTTTTCCTTTCACGATTACTGATATTGTAAAAATGTTTTCGTGAGAAATGTTTAGGCAAACTTCTCAATTCATATACATACATAAATTGTACGAGGTGTAAACAAATCCAATCTTATTATCGTAATAAAACAATATGCATTAGGTCAGGTTTAGGGCTCGGTAGTTCTGGTGTTAATTCGGGTAGCCGTGCCCTGAAGAACGCCGGACCGCAAGGGGTTAAAATGGCGCGGACAAAGCGTCCGGTGGCCGGTGCATAAGTTCACGCGTGTGTTCCGGTAGCAGGCACCAGGTAAGCGTGGAAACGGAAATGGGACGCGTCTGGAAGACGTGTGCTCGGTTGCGCGTGCACAGACGAGAGCTCGCGGCGGAACCTGGCGTGCATGTGGACCGTCGTCGGTGTGCCCACGGCCGTTCTCCAGCGGCTGGCCCTCGGTATGGGATCAATATAAGCGATGACATAGCGAGAGCTCATCTTTAAGCCACGCCCGCGTGCGCGCGGGCACCAATGCTGCCGCGATCCGGCGGCCGCGCGACCAATCCGCGGTCGGCATTGATTTTTCGCGGACTCTTCTTTTTTTTTTTGTTCGCGAAAGTGAATTTCTTCACGATGCTGACGGGAGAGCCTGTACGGGAGAAACGGGGACGGCGAACGAAGGACAGGGTACCGGCGGGCCCGGTTGTCGGAGAAAGAAGGGACAACGCTGGGACAGGGACAGCCGATGTTGGACGTAGAAATAGAATGAGGCGCTACGGGGATAGTAGAAACGGTTGGAGAGAGGGAGAACCAGGAGTGGAGGAGGAGACGCCCGTGGAAAAGGCGGAGGATGAGGATCGATGAGGACAGGGTGACTCTTCCAGGGGTAAACGAACCTCCATTTCATCTACCCTTCGCGCTGTTATCGGCTGTCCCTTTTTCAATCGGCGGAACCCCTGCTGCTAGGGTATCGCGGTACCCAGCAAGTTCATCTGCATGCGTGGTCGGTCCGCTGCCTGTTGCAAGACACCAGCGCACGCCGATCCCGATGTCCATACTGTTCGCTGCCGCGTTCTTTCTTGCGATTCTATTTTTTCCTCTTTCCTTCTGTTTCCTTTTTCTCGTATTGTTTCACGCGTGCGTTCGCAAACGGGCGACACACCGGTCGGTCTGCAGCATTAATCTCAAATATCGACGGACAACAACGATTCCCAGAGATATTGGTAGCGTTTAACGTACCGAAAGATTGGAGCAATGTTGGTCGGCCTTCAGTTCGTCAGTATGAACGCGTTTTATCAGTTTTGTGTGATTTTTTTTAATCGTTTGGATGGTTTTGTATGGAAGTGGAACGTTTTTAGCGAATCATTTTAGCTGCTAATTTTTATTTAGCTCATTTAGGAAGCTAAACCCTAAACTGGAGATCGTTGTTAGGGGCGATTTAATGTTAAATAGCGTAGAAGTAATAAGAGAAGTTTAATGCTGACTGATATTATAGCGTATGTTTTACGGTTTTGCAGGAAGATTTTGCGAGTAAAATTAATAATTTGAATAAATAGAATTGCGAGGTCCAATTGAAAGTTGCAGTGTTTACAAATACTTCATTTTCATGTGAATTCCTTTATGGGAACATTTCCATAATATGTGACCAAAAAACTAATTAATTTCATTTAATTTATAATTAATCATCCGCACATTAATTTAACTTTGGAATTGCTAATACATATACATCTGCTACGACGGTTTTCTATAATAAAAGATTTGTACATTTCTATAATAAGTATAAATATTCGTTTACTTTTGCAATATAATAATATATCTATTTTATATAAATAGAATTGTAATGAAAGCAATTAGAATTGTATTAATGATTACTTCATTATTGAAAAATTCCATAAAAGGAAATAAAAAGAAGATAAATATTGTGTACATTGTATAAAAACAGAAAGGCTACTTTAGGAAATAAATGATACAGCTGTTAATAAATTTTTTAATAGATATTGCGTTGCAATAGTAGATTCTAGCTGGTAATTATGTTTGGGATGATGCACTCGTGCCGCCATCTCTCGGTAAAGCAGAGAATTGCTTATTTTATAGAATGCATACTTATTATCAGTAGTTGTAAATGTAACATTGTGGCATAATAGATAAATATTATAAATTTGAAATGCATTGCGTGAAGCATATTATGATTTATGATTGTAAAATGTTTAAGACGATTTTCATATGTATATTAGTACATATTTTGCAAAGAAGTTACGTATTTTGAGAATATAATAGCATGAGGTTTACAAACATGATAAGCTGGATCACATTTTATATAATTAATATCAGAACATAACATTTAAAAGAAACAAAGTTAAATAAACATAATTTTTCTCAAACTGAGATTAGTATGTGAAACCGTCACCAGGTGGCAAACATTCTCGCCAGTAAAATGTTCTAGTCGAGGCTATATGTACGCAGCGTGAAGCTAATAACATCACTCTGGTTTCCCTTCAGAACACGTATAAATCTTTCGCCTTTTACTAAAGATTTCCGTGGAGGGGAACAATTGAGGAGTCTGTAAATAATTTTTTGTCGTGCCCAACGAAAGTTGGGTCATTTAATAAATGAAAATAAAATTTGCTTGACGATTACATTTCAATTATTATTTTGAAGTGTCAAAAACCATTACTTTTTAGTCTAATTTAAATGGGGGGTATAATTTATATTATGGGATTTAATGTCTTCGAATTTCCCTTGTCTTCTATACTTTATTGACATTGCACTATTTGCAACGAATATCACTAAATAAAGTTTGATAAATAAAATAAAACTACAATATTAATGTTGGTGTGCACAGTGTATTAATAACGCTACGATAAGGGAGATTATATATACACAATATTTTTCTTGTTAAAATGATCATATTTACTCATTTCATTATTTAGGACACATTGTTATCATTTATATCCACACTCTTCTGCTATTTTATTGATAATAAATCTTATAGAATACGTTAAATGGAACATTTTAATGATATCACTTTCAACGTAAAAAAGCGTCTTTTTAACTCCACAAGTGAACACAAAACAGTGCAATCAATAAATGCTATCTACGATGATATTCACATTGTAAATAAAAATAGAAATACATGTCTTTTTACTATCAGTGTCCACATACATCATACATTTTTATCCACTTATATGCAGTGGTATCTGCTTAGACGTACATATCCGACAAATATTTTTTACCTTTTAATTTCTACTGCACACGTACAGTGACTCACATTAATATTCGGACACGATATTGTTAGAAGAATTATTGCTCCTTTTTATTGTTTATGATAGTATTATTGAATCAATTGTGTTCTCATATAATAAAGCACTTCTTAAAGTAAGTAGAAACATAAATTTTGCTTATTTATTGCATATGTTCTTTTGTATAATAAGCGATAAACAAGATTGTGACAAAATTTAATGTCGCAAAAATATTCGGACAGTGAACGCGCGCGCGCGAATTACATTAATTTTATATAAAATGAAAATCTTTTTAATCATGTTATCATAATATTAATATTTTGTCGGTTGACCTTTTGTTTTATTACTTCATGTAATCGCTTGGGCATGTTACAAATGATTTTATTTAAATAATCCGGCGAAATCCGTTTCCATTTGTCTAAACAAACATTGTTTTATCTCTGTTGTTGTTTTTGTAGGTGTTGTACGAATTTTGCGGTCTAATTGATCTCATAAATTTTCAATCGGATTTAAATCAGGCGATTGAGGNCCAATTGATCCCATAAAAATCGGATTTAAATCAGGCGATTGAGGAGGAGAATGCAATACTTTTGGACAATTGTATAATAAATATTCCTGTATACTTCTTGCCTTGTGTTTAGGATCATTGTACTGATGAAACTTAAAACTGTACATATTAATAACCCATATTAATAGCACTTCTAATTAAATTTAAAAAAAAAATGTCCAAATACTTCATTTTATTCATAATACTATCGATAAAAACTAGCTCATCTATACCTACGGACAAGATTATAACCCCACACTATTACACTCCTACCACCGTGTTTCACTGTCGGTCTTAAATTTGCAAAAGAATATTTTTCCAAAGACAACTGGTGGTGGAATGATGTAATATTTTCGGATGAAAGCAAATTTAATCTTTACGGAATTATTTCGCCGGATTATTTAAATAAAATCATCTGTAATATGCCCAAACGATTATATGAAGTAATAAAACAAAAAGGTCAACCGACAAAATATTAATATTATGATAATATGATTAATATGATATGATAATTAATGTAATTCATTCACTGTCCGAATATTTTTGCGACGTTAAATTTTGTCACAATCTTGTTTATCGCGCTTATTATGCAAAAGAACATGTGCAATAAATAAACAAAATTTATGTTTCTACTTGCTTTAAGAAGTGCTTTATTATATGAGAAAACAATTGATTCAATAATATTACCATAAACAATGAAAAGGAGCAATAATTCTTCTAACAATATCGTGTCCGAATATTAATGCGAGTCACTGTATGTCTATAAACCAACGCTCTATTAATATAATTCGATTACCTACCACCAGGTGGATTCCGCACTTGCAACTAGGAATGTGCTTACTCTGGTATAAGTGTAGTTATTTGAACCGAGTCCTTTTAACCTTGACATAATTTCTCTTTACTAAGGATGCCCTTTTGTGGGGTAGGTTCGGTAAAGAGAGGATTACTATATATACTATTTTTTGTAGACCCAGTATAGAAATTATTGGGTCACATAATGAAATAAAAGCAAAAAAAATATTGTAGATCTTTCTAAAAATGTTCAGTGTTATGTTATTGTGATATGAAGATTACTCTCTCGAAGTTTGTTATGTTTCTTTGTCAGAGTGTTTAACAGTAATAAGAGTTTTTGGTAATATAATCGAATCAATATGTTGGCCTTGTATGGTGCAATATTAATAATGCTACGTTAGAGAAATTATAAGTACCATAATCTATTTACTGTTAAAATGATTGTTTCCTCATTTCATTATTTACTAACTCCCTTGGTTATTTACAATATTATTATTTATATCCTCTCTTCTGCTACTTTATGGATTGTCATATACTGAATACTGTAAAATACATTAAATGGGCCCATTTCAATGTATCACTTCCAACGTAAACCGTGTCTTTTTAACTCCATAAATAAACACGAAACAGAACAATCAATAAATGCTATCCACGGTGATATTCAACGTTGTAAATAAAGGTAGAAATACAAGTCTTTTTACTATCAGTATCCGTGTATATCATATATTCTCATTCTTGTCTTATATGCATTCATATCTATTTGGTCGTAAATATTTCATAATAGGTAAATACCCTCCAAATATTTTTTATCCTTTAATTTCTACTGCACATGTGTGTACATAAACCAACACTCTATATAACTACTTCAATATAATTCGATCACCCTCCACCAGGTGGATTCCACTCTCGCAACTAGGAATACGTTTACTCTGGTATAATTGTAGTTGTTTGAAGCACGTCCTTATTTCTTAGCTCCTCTTCTTTCCATAAGGGTCTCCCATTTGCGGGTGAGTCGGTAAGGAGAGGAGTGTTGATGTGTCTACAGACCTAACCCTGACCTACAATATGAACAATTTTTGCAGGCCCAATGTACAATTGGGTCCCATAATGAAATTGAAACAAAAATATTGTAAATCTTTCTAAAATTTTACGGCGTTACGTCGTTATGGTACAAAGATTGTTCTCTCCAAGTTCAACTATGTTTTATTGTCAGTATGCTTAAAATACTTTCCGCATCAAGTGTATAACAAGTCTGAATGAACGTATGCAACCTGCTAACTAGCTTATTTATGATTCACTATGTACTTTCTAGATAAGATCTGTTTATAATTCATAAACTCTTGGAGTTTTTTGGAAAAAATATCTCTGCACAAATCTTATTTCTGTTTAAAGATTCATTGATAGGAAAAATGCGACTAGGAAAGTTATCTTGTTACTTTGATAACAACTTTTGCATATTATTTACAATAAAAACGATGATTGAGACAATGTGAATTTTTTGGATAAGATGATAATATTAAAAAAAATTAACCCGCTGTCGAAGTTTGGAAACGACACAAGATATAGGCTCCGGAGGGATTCGAACCCTCGATCTCCTGTTTACTAGACAGGCGCTTTAACCAACTAAGCCACGGCGCCGTTGAATTCAGCGTTTCTTCTATTGCAAGACTAGCTACACGGAGACTTTGATACAAAAAATTTATATGTACGTAGGTACTTAATACAATCAGATTGTTTACAAAGCATTAATCATCTTCAGACGTTTTGTTACATTAAATCTTCCAATATTTCATTGTAAAAGCCGATATAGAGCAACTTCGTAAATTTCCTGAAAAAGACCTTGAACCCAGTTTTTGGTTTTTGAAAAAAAAATAGCTTTTGTTCCTCTCTTGTAAAAATACATACAATTTACAATAAAATAACAGAAAGCTGGATATTCGTTAAATCATTACAATATTTGATTTATTCCGTTTTATAAAAAAATCAGAATAATATTCAAAATTAAAAATAAAACTTAATTTCATATCTTATTGGAGGCGCCGGGTATCGATCCCGGTACCTCTCGCATGCTAAGCGAGCGCTCTACCATCTGAGCTACGCCCCCGATTGTTAAGGATTTTTCAATTTTCTTCATTTGCGAATAATAACTTCGTTGGCGAAAAATATTGAGAGATAATGAATTAAAGAAGTGACAATTCAATTAAAGTACATCTTTCATTGTTTACATAATAAATTTAAAGGCTATAGGATTCAACAAACTAAATACGTATGTCAGGATGGCTATCAGACTAACAGATTCTTTGGGAACACTATCCTTGTTCTTTAAAAAAACGGTTCGTTCTTTGGTCGTTTGCAGATTTCCAGCTTTTCAAACATGCGTCCACGAACGCATCTCATTGAATATCTGCAACTAATTCGAGTTGCCAGATGTCATCTGGAGGTTGGTTCATAGAACTAAACCTTGAGAAGCCACTCATACCCTGACCTTGCCATAAATTATCGAAAGCATAATCTCAGTGGAAAATCAGGCTATCTGTCTTCGATTTCCCTTGGAAATGAAGCTGTGGCAACATATATTGGAAAATTAAACGTATAAACAGTTTGTACGTGAAAGATAGATAGATAAGTATTATAATTTGCTTGAGGTACTATAAAAGATCACACACAGACACACGCGCATATTTTTTGTACAGTACATTCGGTTCCATTCCGAATTTCTGGAGGCAATAGTAATGCCAAGAAACAGAATAACAGGTCCAATTCGTGGTAGTATGACACTCAAACATAGTTGACCGTGACAATCACCACATCCAGGGCCATTTCTTACCACTTCTGATTGCTAAGGTTACGTCAGTAATCTCGTGGCATTCCTCATGTAGTTAACAACACGTAAAAAACGACTGTGTTGAATGCATTATTCATTCCGTTATTTTTGAAGTTAACAACATAGTAGTTTCTTTGCATATATTACTTACAATATAATTGGTACTTCATGGAATATATCATCATTCATCGAATGGATG